TTATAATGTTAAATGTCCGCGTAAAATTCATAACTTCTACATACGGACTCCGTTTTCGTCTGTCTTCTTACCGTTGAGTTCCTATTAATGAGATCTTCAACTCTCATTTAGGTCGTGTAGGCCAAAAACCGCTCGATCTAAAATTCGAGTTTCGGGTCGTGCACTGTTATGCCAAATCTTAGAAAATCCATAACTTCCCATACGAAGTCAGACTTGGGCGTTCTTTTTTTGTAAGTTCTCGGTTTAACGTATACTATAACTTTTGTTTATATTTATAAGGTTAAAAAATCTTCTGCCGTAAATTCACTATTTACGTCTCCCGGTGCCGTGCCGGTTTTGCTGTAAAACTTCGACGGGCCATAACTTCTTCGTTATAACTCGGATTTCGGCGTTCTTTATATGTACGGAACCCTTGTAACATATACTAAAACTTGGTTAAGATTAATCCTTCTAAATAATCTTCCATCAAAAACCCATTTTTGATGCTCATCGTCTCTAAATTGACTAGCCCGGATCTGCGGGCGTTACAATTTACTACCCTTAATAACTTGATTGCTAATACTCACCTTTCTTTGGAGGCTGATTTTGTTGAATTAATGCGTCTAAGTCAATAACTAAATTGATATATTCTTGAATTAGAAGCAAATCCGTTTTTGGGTTGCCCTCAAAACTAGTATTTGGATAGAATGACTTTTGGAGGAAGATGTTGAATTGATAATTTATTATATGATTAATAAATTGGAATAAATAGTTTATTAATATATTATATGATTATTATATTAATAAGAAATGATGATAATTAATTTGGAATTAATCAGAAATTAATTGGAATTAATTTTGGGATTAATTGAATTAATTAAAAGTGTAGATGCTGTTTGGTTATTTATTGAAAGTTGAAGCATGAAAGCTCTAGAACCCCATGGGATAGGGGTGGATGAAATTTGGCTAGGATAACCTAGAAATTTCGTTCATAGGACCTAGGATAAGGAGATAAGACAACTTGATTATTATATTAATTAATCTTGGTCTTATCCTGGAAACCCTAGCTTTGGCCTCAAGTTTCGTTCAGCTATATAAAGACCTCCCTGGCTCTCATTATTTTTGTCCACTTTTTTGAGCCTTCTTAGAGCCGAAATTTGCTCAATCCTCCTCTCTCCTCAAGTCTTTCACTACTACTCAAACCGGCTCCTCCAACTAAAACTTATCTCTACTCTCGATTTTGTCAAAAGAAAAGCTCACCGGTCCCAACTACATGGATTGGATGAGGAACTTGAAGATGACTCTTTGTTATGTAGGAAAGGAATAGGTCCTAGAAAAGCCTCTTTTCGGAATCGATCATTCCACCGCTAATCCTGAGGAAATCGTTTCCTACAACAAACATTCTGATGATGCCACTAATGTCACTTACATCATGGTGGCCACTATGGCACCTAATCTGGCCAAGTTCTATGAGGACTACTAGCCATACGAGATGGCTCTCGACCTTGCTGGAAAGTTCCACAAAAAGGTGAGACAAAAGCGTTTCGAAGTGGTCAAAGCTTTCATGTCATGCAAACTCAAGGAAGGAGAACCAGTTTGCCCTCATGTACAAAAGATGCAAAGGTAAGTGGAGCAAATCAATAAGCTCAATGTGTCATTTGATGATCAGTTGGCCATTGATATGGTCCTTAACTCATTACCTCCTAGTTATGATCAGTTCGTTCTGACCTATCATCTGAACAATAAGGAGATCACATTGATTGAGCTTCATAATTTGTTGCAAACTGCTGAATCGGGGATGGAGAAAAATCACGCCTCTACTGCAGCAAATGCTCATGTCCTGGCCATTGGATCTAGCAAAGGGAAGAAAAGGAAGGCTCATTCCCAATCCGACATGAAAAAAGGAAGTCCCATGTTGGAGGGTCTAGCAGTGGGTCAAATTCGAAGCCCAACGTTGATGTCCCCACGGTCAGTGATCCAAAGGAGGAAACTTGCTTCTATTATGGTGAAAAGGGCCATTGGAGAAGAAGCTGCCCTAAGTACCTTCAACACTTGAAGGATGGCAAGATTAAGGCGTCATCTTCTGGTATTTACACTATTTAAGTTAATAACACACAACTTTCTCATTCTTGCATCCTTGACACAGGATGTGGTTTCCACATTTGTTCTAATTTGCACGGAGTAAGCGAAAGTGAGGAGGTGGAGCATGGGAAGCTCAAATCTGATCATGGGGAATAGGCGATCTTTATCTGTTACCAAGATTGGGACATATGGGCTTGTGCTTAGTAGTGGTGTTAGGATTAATTTGATTAATTGTTGTTATTCGTTAGATATGACACGAAACATTATTTCATTTCATGCATTATTCAGACAAGGTTTTAGATATTCATTTTATAATGAAGTTGGTTCTATCTCTGCTTATCAAAATGGTGTTTTTATGTTTGAAGCTTTACCTTGTAATGGTCTGTGTGAAAGTGTGACTTATGTTTATAACCTAGGCAATAGTGTGTTTCATATTGATTCGTCCAATGGTGTGGACAAAGCATGTTTGTGGCATTGTCGTCTTGGGCACATAGACAAGAAACGCATCGCCCAACTACTAAACGATGGAGTGTTGGAATTATTTGATCTTAGGACAGATGATGAATGTGAATTTTGTATCTTGGGCAAGATTTCAAAATCATCTTTTACTGGAACATGTGAAAGAGGTGAGGGATTGTTGGACCTGATCCATACGGATGAGTGTGGCCCATTTAGATCCACCACAAGAGATGCTAATCAATACTACGTGACATTTATGGATGATTATAGCAGATATGGTTATAGCAGAAACCTTTGAAAAGTTCAAAGAGTTTAAGCACGAGGTCGAGAATCAATTAGGCGTGAAGATAAAGATGCTCAGATCTGACAGAGGTGGTGAGTATCTTAGTATCGAGTTCCACGACTATCTTAAGGAATGTGGAATTGTTTCACAATTGACTCCTCCCAGAACACCACAACTTAATGGTGTGGCTAAGAGGCGTAATCGAACCTTACCAAACATGGTTCCTTCCATGATGAGTCGAGCTTCTATTCCTATTCATTTATGGGAGTTTCCCTTAGAGACAGCCGCCCATATCTTGAATCTTGTTCCAAAAAAGAAGGTTGCCAAAACACCTCATGAGATATGGACAGTGAAAGATCCCTCGCTCGCACATATCAAGGTTTGGGGTTGTGAAGCACTCGTAAGACGAGAGACGCATGAAAAACTTGAAACGAGAGCCGAGAAGTGTCATTTTATTGTCTACCCACAGAAGTCCTTTAGATACTTGTTCTACAGGCCTAGTGATAACGTGCTCTTTGTAGCTCGAAGAGGAGTCTGTCGCGAGAGAGAAATCATAATCAAAGAGGACAGTGGGAGTACTGTTGATCTTGAAAAAACTCAAGAGTCATCCAATGAAGGAACCATAGACAAAACTAGCACTCAACATGAGGAAGAGGTTCCAGTTGAGCCAGTTGACAACTCATTACCCCTTCGTCATTCCAGTAGGGTTAGCATGCCACCTGAGTTCTATAGTTTCCATATTATTGTAGATGGTGCTACGTTTGTCAGTGATTGTACACTGGTAAATTTAGATGAACTTGCTAACTACAAGGAAGCAATGACAGAACCTAAGGATGCTAAATGGAAGGAGGCAATGGGCAGTGATATTGAGTCCATGTATGATGACCAAGTATGAAACTTGGTTGATCATGTACCTGGTCTAAAGACAGTCAGGTGCAAATAGATCTTCAAGAAGTAGACCGACATGGATGCGAAAGTGCACACCTGTAAAGCTAGTCTGGTTGCAAAGGGTTTTACTCAAACCCAAGGGATTGACTATGATGATACATTTTCACCAGTAGCTAAGATAAAATCTATCAGAATTATGCTTGCTATAGCCGCGTTTCATGATTATGAAATTTGGCAGATAAATGATAAAACCGCTTTCCTTAATGGGAAACTATCTGAGGACATCTACATGAGTCAACCAGAGGGTTTTGTACATTCGAAGTTTCCTGATAGGGTGTGTAAGCTTGAGAAATCCATTTACAGATTAAAACAAGCATCTCGCAGTTGGAATCTTTGCTTCCATGAGAAAGTTAAAGAGTTTAGGTTCTCTAGAAGTGAATATGAGTCATGTGTATATGTCAAAGCTAGTGGGAGTATAGTGACTTTACTAGTCTTGTATGTTGATGACATACTCCTTACAGGAAACAACATTCCAACTTTGCAAGAAGTTAAGTCTTAACTTGGGAAGTGTTTCGCTATGAAGGATCTAGGGGAAGCATCCTTTATTCTAGGAATAATGATTCATTGGGATAGAAAGAATCGTCCTATTGGCCTTAACTAAAGTACATATTTGGATAAAATACTAAAGCGTTTCAGTATGGAGTATTCAAAGAAAGGGGAATTGCCCATTTATAGTACTATCAAGTTGAGTAAGACTCAAAGTCCAAGTACTGATGAAGAGATAACTGACATGAGTCGATTCACATATGCTTTGGCTGTAGGATCGATCATGTCACTATAAGAAAAAGACCCTTTTTACGACGCGCAAACCACGACACTCATTGATTTATGTTACACAAAAGAGAGTGATATTAAAAAAGTGTCATCTCTTTGAAAAAATTTATGGATTTAGGTCACGCATTATTGTGTGCCCTTAAATTAGTGTCTCATGTAAAAAAATTAAAAACACGGAGGGCACTTTATCTAAAATGTGCGTCCTCTGTGAATGTCGTTTTATATTTTTTTAAGAAACGCACGTCTCCTTAGAAGGAAAATCAAATCCCCAAATTTTTTAAACCCCCGCCTTCCAAATCAATCCTCACACTGAATGGTTCGGCGACTACAACTTTTTTCAATTGTAGCGTCGATCGACAACTACGACTCATCAACCGTCAATCGAAGCTACTAGTTGAACAGCCCCTATTTGACACCTCCACCTTCTCGTCTCTCCTTCTCTACCAAGTTTTCTCTCATCTCTATCCTCCACCATATGAAGATTTATGAAGATGTGAAGGGGGTAACCGAAGGAAACCCCAAATCCGTCTCACAGTCAACCACTACAACCCTAAATCTCTCTTCTTTACAGTTGAAAATCTTTTTGATGGATTGTCCAGATTCTGGTCCTGGCATGTTCGGTGTAAGTGCTTTCCAAGTTCTTGGTTTTCTTCCTGAGTCATTGATACTTCTCGGTATGTTCCTTCATTATCTTAATTTCTCTGGATACCCTCAATCGATCCGAACCCACAAATTGAAAATGTTAAATACCTAAAGACTCCTCATTGGAAATTTGTTCATAGTGGGTTGTAATTATATCTCTATATATATGATGCGCAATATTTGGTCTATCAGACACAAAATATGGAGCTCAAGAGTACGTCCTAACTAGAGTTGGCTTACTAGCTGGATCAACTATATTCCTTCTCACTTTACTGTGGGGAACTTGTGTCATGATTGGTAGTCGAAAATTTTCTTCAGAATCTAGTTCAAGCTCTTCAATGATTAATGATCCTACGCAAAATCAAATCCAAAAACTGATTTCATTATGCACTGGTTAGCTCCGATATTCTTCAGTTCACCTCCTAATTCAATTCGGTTACTCGTATATGTTTCCAAGATTGCCCATAAATGGAGTTAATTTGTTTCCTTGTTTGTAGGTTCTTGTGTAACTACAGATGAAGAGACGAGTCAAGCAGCCAAAATTATGCTTCTTTCTGTTATACCATTCACATTCATCTTAATCCCAGGATTATTTGGTGCAAATGCTTTTCCTGTATCGGTTTTGTTCTTCATTGTATACTTCATTTACCAGGTATCCTCTACATTTATCTTTGTGAATATTATTAAATTATATTAATAAGATAGAATTAGCTAAATATTCTCTTATGTAGGTGTTTGAGCCTTCAATACAAAAAAGAAGATTATCATACGTGAAACACGAGCATTTAGTTGTGGACATACTAAAACATCTACAGGAGCACACTGCGGATAAGATAATCAATGAAGATGGTTCAGCAAATCTAGCAACTATAAAAGGGTTGGTTTCTTGTTTCTTGTTTCTTGTTCCTTTTCATATTATCTATATATGCTTTATTTGTACTTATGTTTCCTGTTGGATAAAAACTAAGAAGAAGCATTGCATTATACATGCAATCTATTTTCCAAGATTGATCAAGATGGTGACAGCTACATATCTGTTCCTGAACTAAAAGCAATTCTACAGGATATTAAGTTAAGGAAATTAACTTGGAGCAAGGATAGAACATTGGAAGAAATAATGAAAGAATTTGATACACATGGTGATAGTAAAGTAACTATGGACAAATTCCATGTAACTAAATGGTGTTCTTGATACATTAAAAGAATTCCATGTAAGTTATTTTTTTTTTTTTTTTAACGCTATAATGAGAACTCTCATTTGTGTCTTCCTATTTTCAGGTGCCACCTGTCATTATTCACAAAGTTTTTGCTCAAGTTTACTCTTACATTGATGCGCAACTCTTCAACAGGTAACTGGAGATTCTAACCATGCTAAACTAGTTACATATCATATATGATTATATAATCTTTTGGATTATAAATTTTTAATATGGAACCTCAGCCTTCTTATGCATAAAGAGTGTTGTACACTTGGGAATGGTGAGTATGTGAAATCAGGGTTATCTAAATTAGAAGCTTGGTGTACTAAGGCAACTGCAGATGTACTAATTAATTTAGTTTTTTTTCTTATTTAAATATTGGTTGAAATGAGTTGGTAGGTCTAACTACTTATTGACTCAGTATGCAGACTCAACATCGGATGAACTTCAACGTGTAAGACGGGCAGTTAGATTTCTGGTATGAAGAAATCAATAGTGCCCCCCCAGAAGTAAGGATAGATCTACCAGGTTTAGTTTAACTTTAATTACTTAATTACTCATATTTATTTATTATTTTTTACTCTTTTTTTTTAATACTTTGGGTGCTATTTGGTGAATCATTGTTAGGCATGTGCTATATCAACTGATGAAAAATATATTAATTTATATCTCCATGATTATACAGGTACGATTGGTGAAAAATAGGGACAACAATGAAATCGAGGGTTTTGCATTAATTTATAGCATTCAGCCATCCATGGAATCCATTCGCGACTCTCTTGCTGAGGAGTTGGTTAAATTGATAGAGGAGGTAGAGTTTCCTTTTGTTCATTCTGTTATACATTTTTGATGGTAAATGTCTATATTACCCTTTGATCTCATATGCTTTTTTTGGTGCAGTGTGAAAAATTATGGTCAAAAGTGTCTATGCTTCCTGGCTTAAAAGCAGAACTAGAAAAAATGTTAAAAACTATTAAATGGTGATTGGAGATAAAATCGACTTGTGTGGATTTCTATAAAAAAAATGTTAAAAACTAATCATTTTTTGTTTTGAAAATTCATATTTATGCATCATAAGAAAAAAAATCCAAACTAATTACTGTTCCAGTATTCCTCTATGCTATTAATAACTACCTTAAAAAATCCAAACTAATTATTATGATTTTTTTTACTAAACCTTGTATTTAGGATTTAATTTGTGTGTTTGTACTAGGTTATTGTTTCTCTTGATGATACGATCATTCTACATGGTGGTGGTGATAAGAAGCAAATTGAAGAAAGATGTGAGGAATTAAGGTCAACCATTGAGAACAGTTCTGCCATGTTTGAAAAAGAGAAAACACAAGAGAGATTATCAAAGTTGTCAGGAGGTGTTGCAGTCTTTAAGGTATATTTTAAACCACTTGGTTATTTTTTTAATTTTATTTATTAAAAATAAAATATAATCCAGGTTGGAGGGGCTAGTAAGGCGGAAGTTGGAGAAAGAAAAGATAGGGTTACAGATGCTCTTAATGCTACAAGGGCATTTGTACAAGAAGGAATAGTTTTAGGTAAGTTCTTTTTTTTTATATCATTATTTTTTTATAAAACATATGAGATACAAAAACCCTTAAGGTTTGCTTTCCGGTATCCAGTTTCCAGACTGTTTTATCTCATTATTTTTTTTATAAAACATATTAGATACAAACGCGGATCAAAAAAGAAGAGCGAAAATTGTCAAAAATGCCCTTAAGGTTTGCTTTCCAGTATCCAGTTTCCAAACAGTTTTTTATACTTTTGAGTTTTTTCTTATGTTTATTGAATTTGGGCATCTAGGCACCAACATGCACAATAGTCTCAAATGTTGGTGGTGATGTATCTAGAGATAGTAAAGTAAAAGGTGACAATGGTCAAAGTCAAACTCTGCCTATGTGTCAAGCAACATGCCACTATTATTATTTATTGAGTAAATTACAATTTTTTCCTTCTGATATTTCAAAAGTTATGGTTTTCATCTAGATATTTCGTTATTATAGTTTTGTTGCAAGGTTTTGTCCTTGGTACTGACAGTGTTGCAATGCTTTCATGTTAAGTAACTTGCTTACTAGCCAATTTACCCATGTAGTGTAAGCTATAGGTGACAAAGGAGCAGTTGAAACAGGTTATTGTTGATGCATACAACCATCACCTATTGAAACTATTCCCATTTGTATAAGTTTTTCATCTAATTATACTGTGTGTAAGTTTTTCACCTAATTATACTGTGTGAAAGTTACACACAATTCTAAGACTTCAAATTTTATCATTTTAAAATTATTTATTTAGCTTCTCTACCTAATTTTGTACAAACATGTGTGTATATGTATCCTTTTCATACCATGAAGCCTTTGATCATCCTGTTACATGTAAGTTTTTAAAGTCAATTGTTTCTCATTCGTCCATTTAAATTGGATTTGTCACTATCTAACTTCTTATAGTCACTGATTGGTTGCTTTTTATATATGCTTAAATCTTAACAACTATCATGACAACCTTCAACATTAGTTTTGGATCGACACCTTCTAGCAGAAGATACCGTGTACATGTTCTTGTGCTGCTATCGTGGATTCAGGAACATCCTTGCTTACTTGTCCAACTGTATGTATCTCACGTGAAGCTTCTATTAGAAATATTAATCTCAGGGATTTCAAGTTTTTCATATTTCTTGTATCTAATTAGTTTGTAAATTTCTGTTACAACTTCTATTGATTTGTTTTATCTTTCCATGGAACGATTATTTGTATGACATTAAATTTTATGCAACAGATTGTATTTTTTGTATATGATATTTTATTTTCTATTATGAGACATTAATTGCAAATTTAATTTGAATATTAGTAAATCTATAAATAATATTTTTTTTAAACATTTAAAATTACGATACACAAAAATGTGTGTCATCTTCATTTTTGACATGACCTTTTTTGACAGGGGATTTAATGATACGCAATGCGAGTCGTAAATGCACGTCGTAAGGTTACGACATATAAATGCGCGCCGTCTTCCTTTATGACAGGGCTTTCCTTGATATGCATTGCGTGTCATAAATGAGCATCGTAATTGTGTGTCGTAATTGCGTGTCGTAAATGCGTGTCGTAAATAGACAACGCACAAAAGTGTGTCGTCTTTCGTTATAACAGGGCCTTCCTTGACACGTATTTGCGTGTCGTCTGAGCGTTTTACGACACGCATTGCGTGTCGTAAAAGGTTGTTTTTCTTGTAGTGTGTATGAAATGACCTATACTCGTCCTGATGTGTCTTATGCTTTGAGCATGGTTAGTCGATTTCAGGGAAATCCTGGCAGAGCCCATTGGATTGCGGTGAAGAATATTGTTAAGTATCTACGAAGAACGAAAGACATGTTCCTAGTTCTTGGCGGCAGTGATACGTTAAGAGTGAATGGTTATAGTGACTCCAACTTTCAAACAGACCGGGACAACTTTTGTTCGCAGTCTGGTTGGGTATTTTTACTGAATGGAGGAACAGTTACTTGGGAATGTTCCAAGCAAGACACAGTGGTTGATTCCGCATGTGAGTCTGAGTACATTGCAGTGAGTGAATCATCGAAGGAAACGGCTTGGCTGAAGAACTTTATCGGAGATCTCAGAGTCGTTCCAACTATTCAGGAGCCCATAGAACTGTTCTGTGATAATGAAGGCATGGTTGCTTTAACAAAAGAACCAAAGGATAATGGTAGATCCAAGAATATAGATAAAGTACCATTATATTCGACATCAGGTAGAACAAGGACACCTTCTGGTGAAGAGAGTATCATCATATGATAATGTTGCAGATCCTTTCACGAAGGCTCTGAGCAGAGTCAAACACTACGAGTATGCTAGGAGCATAGGCCTAAGAGACGATATTAGTTTTAGTAGCTAAGTGATATGTTTGAAACTTGTAACAAAATAAATGTAATTGATTTGGTGAATGAATAATAGAGAATTATTTATAAGTATCGTACCACCTTATTCAATTATTTATTCTTGTGTTTCTTTTTGCATGTTTACACTTCATGAGTAATTTGAATTATTCAAACTTCCACAGTCGTTCAAACTTCTGGAAGTAAGTAGTGAATTAAGATTGTCATGAATTGATTGTAGATTATCGATTGAGGTTAAGATATTACAATTTGAATTGCTACAATATTCATGAGTACTTTGAAAACAGGGATTTTAAATATTGGATAAACTCACGCTTAGAGATTACTTCATGAATCTTGTCACAAGTAATCATATGACGATAATATCTACTATTCTTAAAGTAGAGATATGTAGTTCATAGTTTACAAATCAGTTATGCATTGGTTTACTCAAACGCATCTCGTAACTAGATGTTATAAAGGGTACTTCTTTGTGTGATTTGATATGTAAATTGTATGAATACATAGTCAATGTAATTTGTTCCTTTTGCCCTATCAGGAAAAGCGATATCGTTGGGACCCTCGATGATTTGATGTTGACTATATAGGGCTGGGCCCAACCAGGACTAATTGATGTGTTCAATTTGAAGTCCACTAAAGTCTTTACAAATCGGGAAAATCGGGAAACAAAATTTTAGACAATGAGATTGATTCTGATCCATGTCTCGTGTTCATACGATATCTTGAAGAACGAAGGAATAGATGACCACTTATCTTCGGGCCAATAGCTGATTTGAATCAGAGTTTGGTAGTGGCTTTGGAAAGCACTCTTTGTTGTTTATTTCAAGGTCTATACTCGCAATTGTAGTTACAGACTTATCCAAGTGGGAGACTATTGGATTAATGTGTCTAAGCCAATAACTAAATTAATATATTATTGAATTAGAAGCAAATTCCTTTTTGGGTTGCCCTCAAAACTTGTATTTGGATAAAATGACTTGTGGAGGAAGAGGCTGAATTGCTAATTTATTATATGATTAATAAATTGGAATAAATAGTTTATAATATTTTATATTATTAGTATATTAATAAGAAATAATGATAATTAATTTGGAATTAATTGGAAATTAATTGGAATTGACTTTGGGTTTAATTGAATTAATTAAAACTACCGGGGCTATTTGGTTATTTATTAAAAGTTGAAGCAGGAAAGCTCTAGAACCCCATGGGATGGGGGTGGACGAAATTTGGCTAGGATAACCTAGAAATTTCGTTCATAGGGCCTAGGATAAGGACATAAGGTAGCTTGATTATTATATTAATTAATCTTGGCCTTATCCTGAAAACCTAGCTTTGGCCTCAAGTTTCCTTCAGCTATATAAAGACCACCCTGGCTCTCATTATTTTCTTCCACTTTTTTTAGCCTTCCTAGAGCTGAAATTTGCTCAAGCCTCCTCTCTCCTCAAGTCTTCTTGCTACTAGGGTTTTGGGTACAAATCATTAGAGACATCCATTCCTTTGGTGCTAGCTTTTCAAGATTTTGAAGAAGGATTCTACTTTGATTATTTGCAATAATAATCAATAGGTATGTAAACCTAATTTAATGTGAATTTTGATTTCATAGCCTCCATCCTAGGGTTTCTTGATATTCATAGTTATTTGTTATCAATAGAGAAAACATAGATCCTTTGTAGGTTGCATGTGAACTTAAGGTTTAAGTGTTTTTCTACCACATGTAAAATTTTTATAACCTAGAAAACCTATCAGATTCTTGTTCGAGGAAGGTTGATTCGAATGCATCTTCTTTGTTAAGTCGTTGAGAAATTTCATGGTTAGCAGTATGTTGGATGATGATTTGTTGCAGTTTCAATGGGTTTCTTGGGTTCCCCTAAAAGCAAATTGTTTCGTATGGTGCATGTTGCTGAAAAGAGTCCTTGTTGCCATGAATCTCATGGTGAGAGGGGTAACGTTATCTTCTCATAATTTCCCTTTTTGTTCTAAGATTAACGAGGATACTGAGTACCTTTAGTTTGGATTTCGCTTCTCTCGCACTGTTTGGAAGTGGTTGTACAAATGGTTGCTTATGCTACCTTCCCTTCCTGAGAGCTTATCTGACCTGATATTGAAGATGAGTTGTAACAGTATATCCAAGAAGTTTACATTGATGAAACTGGGTCATATCTAATCTATTATATGGATGATTATGAAAGCTCGAAATTCTTTTGTTTTTAAGAAATTGAGGGGCTCCCCTATGAAGATGGCATATGAGATTCAACTTATTTCATATAAATGGTTCAAACATCGTGTCAATCTTAATTTTATGAATTGGAATATGTGGTGTTGTTCTCCCATGTATGTTTGTAATAACTCTTTGTAATTTTCTCTAGCATCTTGCTAGTTTTATTTTATCCGCCGTTCTAAAAAAATCATATAAAATAATGACATGTAGAGTCTAGTAATTGTTTTTAGGAATATTTTTCTTTTGATTTTGATACTTGTTTTGATCTAATGAATAAAAATATGTATATAAACAACAAGTAGGGGGATATTTAACTTATCTTCAATTTCGATCTTACAAAACACGAAAACCTAATCAGAGAATTAAGAGATGTAAATCACAAAATGGGTTATGAAAAAAAAAGACGATTGATAATTGTGTGCATATATGTGTTTATTTCCCCACAAGTTAATAATATAATTAGGCCATCGGAATACCTTTAACGAAGGTGATTTATTGCCACCATAGCACCCCACCACTATAGTGAACACCACTCCGTATGATTGTGGTGCATCATGGTAGGGTGGAATGTGGTCACCACCACAGTTAACAACATCCAATCATCTTCTTTCTATCTTTATTTCTCTCTATCTCTCTACCTTTTAATTAATTAAAAATATATTTTCTATATAAATAATCAAAAAAATAAAAGGAATATAATGATGTGGAGTGACAAGTATTTTATAATGATATGGTTTAAGTGCGGTGATGAGGTGACAGTGAAACGACACCGCACAACAGTTGTATATACAAAGTGACCTAATGAAATCAAATTATTGAGTTCCAATTTTAGGAGTGAGAATCAAAAGGTTATGGGGTTGTTAAAATTAATCCCAAAAATACCCTTCTTTTTTTATTTGAAATACCCAAGACGCCATTTAATATGTTTGTATTTACAAAACCGCCACCTTGG